GAAATTGGCGTCCCATCTCGCTCCTCAAAATTGATTGATTGACAAAATCGTAGCAAAAGCAATCTCGCTGCAGCTAGGGTCTGTGCTGGCGGACATGATCCACCCAGACCAGACCTACACCGTCCCGGACCGCAGTATCTTTGATAACCTATTTCTGGTTCGGGACCTTGTGGAACTTTGAGCATAGAGACAGTCTGTCGTTCGCCCTCCTGTCCCTAGATCAGGAGAAGGCATTTGATAGGGTGGACCACGGGTACCTCCTGAGCACTCTGCAGGCGTTTGGCTTTGGACCCCAGTTTATGGGTTTTCTCCAGGTGCTGTACGCTTCCGCAGAGTGTCTGGTTAAGCTCAACTGGACCATGACTGAACTGGTCAGCTTCGGGCGAGGAGTACGGTGGGGTGCCCCCTCTCGGGCCAGCTGTACTCTCTGGCGATCGAGCCCTTCCTCTGTCTCCTCCGCAGGAGGTTGACAGGGTTGGTACTGTGGGAGCCGGAGCTGTGGCTGGTCCTGTTGGCGTACGCCGATGACGTGCTTCTCGTGATCCAGGACCCCGGCGACTTGGCGCGGGTGGAGGCTTGCCAGGCCATCTATTCGGCAGCCTCCTCTGCCCGGGTCAACTGGGTCAAGAGCTCTGGCTTGGCGGCAGGAGACTGGCGGCAGGCGAGCTCCCTCCCACCCGCGCTTCAGACCATCCAGTGGAGTGCGGGTCCACTGCTCTACCTCTGCGTTTATCTTTCTGCCACGCATCCCTCTCCGCTGGAGAACTGGCAAAATTTAGAGGTCGGGGTGATAGAGCGGCTCCGGAAATGGACGGGACTACTCCGATGTCTCTCCCTCTCAGGGAGAGCACTGGTGCTTAATCAACTAGTTCTGTCCATGCTCTGGTACTGGCTCAACACCCAGTCCCAGCCCCGGGTTTCCTCACCAACCTCCAGACATCGATTCTGGGGTTCTTTTGGTCAGGAATGCACTGGGCCCCTGTAGGGGTCCTTTATCTACCCCTGAAGGAAGGAGGACAGGGCCTGAAGTGTCTACACACTCAGGTCCGTGTCTTCCGCCTCCAGGCCCTACAGAGGCTCCTCTATGGTGCAGGCAGTTCGGCGTGGAACACACTAGCGCACGCCATCCCGCACCGCATCCGAGGGCTTCGATATGACTGGCAGCTCTTTTATCTCCATCCGGGAGGTCTTCTGCGAGACCTCTCGGGGCTGCCGGTCTTCTACCAGGACCTCCTCCGGATTTGGAAACTGTTTTTAATGACCAGGTCCATGGCGGCCACCAAGGGGGTAGATCTCCTCACGGAGCCCCTGCTACACAACCCCCAGCTCCGTGTGCAGGTGGCTGAGTCCCACTCGGTGCACCAGAGCTTGATCCTGGCAGAAGTCTTGAGAGTCGGAGACCTCCTGGACTATGACCGGGGAGACTGGCTGGATTCCCTGACGCTCGCCCGGTGCAAGGGGCTCTCCAGACCTCATACCCCCGGCGCATACTTCAGGAGGTGAAGGCCACTTTGCCACCCGCTGCTCAAGCTTACCTCAACCGGGTCCTGCTCGAGGGCACGCCCCGCCCACCCTCGACCCCAGGCCCGCCGGACCTTTTAATTGGACCCCTGCCCCGCAGATCCAATCGCTCCCCCACCCCTTCACTGCGAGCCGGCTGCATGAACTGCAGCCAGTACACTTCCAAACCGCACCAAGGAAACATCTATACACGCTCGCGCTCCACAGCCTTCACGCCCTCATCCTAGTGTCCCGTCCTGACACAAAGTGGCGAGACCTTCTTTGGAGGGTGAGCAGCCCTGTTGGGCCAGCCTATATTCCACCTTGGTTCCGAGGCCTGTTGGGGACATCAGTTGGCGGCTCCTTCATGGAGCTGTGAGCACAGGCACGTACTTGGCGCGGTTCACCCCCATCCCAGCTACTTGTCCCTTTTGTGGTGTGAGGGAAACCCTGGCGCATGTATATCTGGAGTGCGCCAGGCTGCAGCCCCTGTTCCAGCTCCTCACAAATCTCCTATTACGTTTTTGGTTGCATTTTTCCCCTCACCTTTTTATTTATGCACTCCCCATCCGTGGCCTCACAAAGTCGCGGGATCTCCTAGTTAACCTCCTCCTGGCCCTGGCTAAAACGGCCATCTATAAAACCAGAGAGAGGAGTTTGGCCGATGGAGTCTCCTGTGACTGTGGGGCCTATTTCCGATCCTCGGTCCATTCACGTATCCAGGTGGAGTTCCTCTGGGTGGCGTCCACCGACTCCTTGATGCTTTTGAGGAGCGGTGGGCGCTGTCTGAGGTTCTCTGCTAGGTGTCCCCTTCCGGGTCCCTTTGTCTGACCCTTTGATTGGGGGAGAGAGTAAGGGACCCCAGCCCCAGCCAAAACTCAGATTGTCTGAAGAAGGAGAGAGAGCAAACTTGAGTCAAGGGCTCTCAGCTGAAAATGGTCTGCCACCCTGCCTCCTCTCATGTACATTTTTGGGATGTTAGCTCATGTGCCTCAGCTGTTCCCAAAGATTTGGTAGATATGTGGAGAGAGGAAGTTTGTAATTTAGCTAGGACCCAAATAGTGCTTAATTTGTGCCAGGGCTTGCCAGAGCTGAGCCCCGGCACCTCTAGGCTTAGCAGTTCATAGACCCGGCACCTCTAGACTTGCTGCATCAGTTATGAAGGCAAAAAATTTGCTTGAGCCCCGGCACCTCTTTCATTACAAATTGAGCACTGGACCCAAACTATTAAGGGCTGAAGGGAACTCCTGGAAATGAGATGGTGGCCAGTACAGTCACTGAAAGATGTGTCTTCTGCTCCACGTGAGGAAGAGTATTCAGTAAGTGGGCAGTCAAGTTCTGCATCAACTACATTTCCCGAGACATCTCCAAGAAGAACCTGCAGTGTAGCATAGTGTCAAGTCTGCAATAACACCCGTCAAATTATTTGTTGTTTTATGTCTGTGGTGCTAGTGATTAAGGCCTCAACCATGCCCCATATCTGGGGGAGGGATAGCTGAGTGGTTTGAGCATTGGTCTGCTAAACCCAGGGTTGTGAGCTCAATCATTGAGGGGGCCGTTTGGGAGCTGCTGCAAATATTGGGGATTGGCCCTGCTTTGAGCAGGGGGTTGGACTAGATGATCTCCTGAGGTTCCCTCCAACCGTGATATTCTATTATGCTTGGCGATGTATATCCGGCAAATTTTATTTTCAATTCAGAACATTTCCCAGATATTCAACCTCTGAAATGATTGTGCAGGGCAAATTTTATCAGTTGGCTCTCTTTATAAATTGCTTCAGTTTTGCTATACGTTCCAATGGAAATGAGGGGAGGGAAAAAGAAGAAGAAAGAACCAGGTAGTAAAACAGTAACATCTTTTTTTCTGATGTCATCACTGCTCTGGCCTCAAATGATAGTTCTGATCAGTTTCAAAATTCAAGGTAAGGTGTTTCTTTGCTTGCTTCCAGTATTCTTAGCAATAGCATTGCTCAGCATAGCTGCCCTCCTGAGCCCTGCTCTTCGGGGACCTCAATTTAAGAATTAAGCAGCTGCTCAAATCACTCAGCATTCTGAGGCTGGGCTCATATCACAGCCAAAGAAGCAGCAACAGACTCAGCACCCATTGCACTGGGACCACCAACGACCTGCCAGAGCAACTATACTGGAGAGTGTTGGGTGCGGTTCTCCCCTCAGTCATTTGACTCCAGTGCTCCCTTCCTCCTCCCCCGCCACCATGGGGAAGGCTCTCCCACAACTTGCAGACAGAGAGGGAGAGAGATAGGGCTGGGCTTCTCGCAACCCTCCCTGGGCCAGGCACACGGCTCTAGCGACCACTTCCCCCCTCTACGGGCAACATGCAGGGCAGGTTTTCCCCCAATTTTAAGGGCAAGAGTGGAAAAGAGCCAGGTGGGGCTAGGCTTCCTGTCATCCCATCACAGGAATAAGGTCATGCCGACAGTGGTAAATACGGCATTCCCTAACTTTCAAGTGCTTCATTCTTTGAACAGTTTTTTTGATGTATAATATATTTTTGTTCGCTAATGCACAATTGGGCACTGAAAATGGGTTTCGGGGGGACGCTTTTGAGAACCTGAACTCATCAAGAGCGCAATGAAGTGGGGAGGAAGCAGGGGACCAGGGCCCAACCCTTCACCTCTGATCAGAGCTGGGTGGTAAAGGCAAAGCCCCTTCCCTGCTGGCATGATGGAAGGGCAGCTGGGCCAAACCTTAGTTGTCCGTGGGGTCACAGCCCCGCTCAGGTTTGTGTGTGTGTGTGTGTGTGTGTGTATAAGGAAGGTGTTCTTACAACTGCATCAAGTCTCCTAGGGCCCAGATCCTCAAAGATCTTTAGGCTTTGAACTCTAGGCATTTGGCTACACTGGGCCTTTACCACCATTGCCATGGGGCAGAGGTGCTGACATTCATCATCCAGCGAGGAACACGAGCCCCTCCCAGCCTTTCCCCTGCCCGGCCACTGTCTGGCACCATCAGTGCATCTCCATCTTCCTGACCAACTGACTCATGCCCCCTGTACCCAGAGTTGCACCTGGCTGCCCTTCTCCTCCCCCCCCGCCCTCCAGCCCTTCATAGAATATCAGGGTTGGAAGAGACCTCAGGAGGTCATCTAGTCCAACCCCCTGCTCAAAGCAGGACCGATCCCCACTATTTACCCCAGATCCTAAATGGCCCCCTCAAGGATTGAACTCACAACCCTGGGTTTGGCAGGCTAATGCTCAAACCACTGAGCTATCCCTCCCTCCCCCTTCTGCCCTGCGGCGTGCCCCGCCGCTGCCCGCATTCGGCCCCTTCCTCCTCTCCCGCTCGGGAGCAGGGCCCGAGGGCAAGTCCGGGCAGAGCGAGGCCAGGGGCTTCAGCAGCTGCCACGGCGCAGGCTGAGCGCCAGACTGCCCCGGCCGGCCCCCCGGGGGGCAGAGCAGCGCGCGGAGGGAGAGCAAAGGGGGCGGCGGCCGGAAGGCGGGGAGGGGGGAGCGGCAGGACCAAGCCGCCGCCGCCGCCGCCGCCGCAGCAGCAGGACCGGCTCAGCGGCGGCCCCTCGAAGCCCTGCCCCAGGCGCGGGACTCGCACCATGGCTCCGTGCGGGAGCGGCTGGCTGGCCAACGAGGGGAGCAAGCACCTCTCTCTGGTAGGATGCGGCGGCGCTGGCCGGGCGCAGCCCCCCGCGCGCGGCGCTGTCTCTGCGCGCTGCGCAGCTCGCCCAGAGAAAGTTTGAGCTCGGAGCCGCTCGGGGGGGCTGGGGGCTCCGCGTGCCTGGCGCTGCTGCAGGCGTGTGCCGGGGCCGCGGGGAGCCGCCTGCCGTGCTCCGGGCGCGGCTGTGTGTGTGCACGTGGACCCAACGCGCTCTGCCCGGCTCTGTGTGTGTACGCGGGCACGCACGCCGCCCTGCCTGGCATGCACCTCACACGCTTCGTGGGCATCGCACGGGCCCGTGTGCTGCGGGTCCCATTTCCACGCGCATGTCGGGGGGCTAATGTCCATTGTGTGTCCTCGGGATTTGTGGGTGTAAATGCAGGTGTCTCTGTATGTTGTGTGTGTACATGTATGTGTATATATACGCACGTGTGTGCTATATAAGCATAGGTGCTGGGACTAGGGATGCTGGGGTGCTGCCGCACCCCCTGGCTTGAAGTGGTTTCCATCATATACAGGGTTTACAGTTTGGTTCAGTGACTCTCAGCACCTGCTCTACAAAAATTGTTTCAGCACCCCTATGACTAAGGGATAATGAACGCATGTGTATCTATGTGTGGTGCATGTGGGTTTGATCTATGTTATAGCCTCTGGAGGGTTGGAGCAGAAAAAGCATGGATCTCCTCTGAAACTGCTTTTCCTTGCTTGGGTCTCATAATTTGTCTTTTCCTTCACTATTTATTTATTCTTTGACTCTTTAATAGCAGCACCTAACTCTATATATTTTGATAGACAGCTTGCATGCAAGATGCTACATAAGATTGTAAAGGACTGAACCTCAAATGCAAACTTTTTGGAGGCTGGCTGAGAACAAAAAGTTTTACAGCCAGCAGGGGCTGTTTTTGTAATGTCTTTCCACTCGTTTTCTCATTCAGCTGCAAAAGCCTTAGAGAGCTCATTACATGTGTGCTGTGTGATGGAAAGAAATATTGAGAAGTTCTGGACTGTAAATGTGCCTTTCATTGACATGCATTCTTTCTTATTGTCTTGTTCGTTTTAGCTTTTCTGGCTCTCCCTGAATGTGTGGCTCTTCTGGAAAACCTTCCTGCTGTATTACCATGGGCCGCAGTACTACTACTTACATCAGATGCTAGGTGTAAGTGATCCTTTTTCCAAGGTGGTGAGGAGGGGAGTCAGGAGCAGAAATGTGTTGCTGAGGGAAGAATTGGGGTTGCTTAGTAGCCCTTGAAGGGGGGGAGGGGAGGGCAATGGAGGATCAATAAGAAATGGGCTATGAGATTGTTGACATTTTTGTGGGGTTAGCAATTTGATAGTGTTGAGAATAATCTCTATGTTGGAGTGAATAAAGGGTAAGGAGCCAGTCAAGTGGCTAGGAAAAGCCAACTGCGGGCATGCTTAAAAGATCTGACACTGTAAGCATGATCACAGATGACTGGGGCTTTAGTTTTTAGTCATCATAACAGTGCAAGCTTGTGAGCTTGTTCTGGTGAGCTTTTATGCCAGTTCTCATGCTGTATGTGTCTTGGGGGAGTTGTTTTATTAACTATCTTAGTCTTTCTGCCTTTTTCCATCTCATTTTCATGTTCCTGTGTGCTTGGTTAATAAATAATTATAAGTCCCATCATTTTTTGCCTTAATTTCTGCCAATCAGTGTGAAAAAAGATGGCATCTACCTGTATAATGCTGACATCTCCACTTTGCCTTTGCAATGATGGACCCACCAGAAATAGTTTCTAGGTGGTGAGATGTAGGTCTTTTTCTTTCTTGAAGTTATCAGTATCTCCTGAGTAGGTACAATTAGCTTGCACTGTAAACTGTCCAGAGGGAATGAGCAAAGGGGAAAAAATATAGTGATGAAAATCTGGCCCTTGTTCTGTCTGTGTCTTAGTCCCCAATCCGTAAAATGGGTATGAATACTTCCCTAGCTCACAAGGGTGTTGTGAGCACAAACGCGTTAAAGGTAGTGAGGGGCACAGATACGGCGCTAATAAATAGGACCTCAGATACATCTATTAGTCAGAGGCTGATAGGAAAGAAGGAGTTCTGGTTCTGAGTCAGGAACACTACCTGAGTAAGAATCCCAGCATTCTCTCAGTAACCGGGGATGGAATGGTGCGTGGTGTTTGCCTGTGACTACTAAATGTAATCCTTTGTCCATCTATAATGTGACCCAGGGCCAGATTTTCCTCATTATATTTTTTCCCCTTTGCACATTCCCTCTGGTCAGTTTACAGGGCAAGCTATATAATCTTTCTTTCTCTCTCTCTCTCTCTCTCTCAAGCCACCGTGCGTACAGCTACATTAAACTGAGTAAATAAAAATCTATATTTTTAAGTGGAGAAAAAAATATAGGAGATAATTTCTTAACTGCTGAATAATGCCCTCCCCCTCCCCCCCCCGGTTTTTTTTCCCCCTTTCATTTTTGGATAACTCTAAAATGGCCAACTAGTCATTAATGGAAGAAATTATCTTCTGGGCATGAGAGCATACTGGAGAAATTGCATCCCTAAAGGGAACTTGTTGGTGGAGTATTACATAACTGAAAATGGAAGTGAAAAGAGGAGTCTTATTTCATCCTTTAGCTATACTGGTACTGCTGCACATAGCATTTTACAATATATTATGTTGATGTCTTCTTTATTTCTTGCTTGGAATATGTTCCAGATGATACAATGGCTTGAGATCTCATTTGCTGCTGCTTTATCATGATAAAGACTTTGCTATTTGAGGCCAAGTTTCTCCCTGCAAATTTCTGGTGCAACTCCACTGAAGTCTGTTTTTCCCACTACAGTCTGGAGGGAATTAGGCATCTTGAAACTTTGTTTGCTTTATCGTACTATTTTGTATTTAATTGCCTCGTAACCAAAGGATGCCAGATGTGTTTATTAGTCTGCTTCTTCCAGTAGGTGTTTCGTGTAGCAAAAATTGTTACTAGACGCTTTTATTTTTTCCTTTGTTATTTAAGCTCCTCTTCCTGTATTGGGATTTCACAATATTGTTTAAGGGTTTAACTCATGTGTCCAATTATCAACATAGTCCGTGTCTGATTTGGAGGCAATTTGCTGCCTATTATATTGTTCTGTCTGCCTTCTCTTTCTGCCATTCTGGTGTTTTGCAGAGTTTCCTTTAACCCTTTGTCCTCTCTTCTCAGACTCAACAATCCAACAATGCTATTCAGGTTATCATCTGTTAAGGGCCAACAAAGAGCTCATTCTTTGCACTGTACAGATCTTTAACGTTCATTGTTTGCTTTTTTAATTCTTTTCCACTCAAGTGGCAGTGCTCCCATCAAGGGTGTCTATATGACCATTTTTGGGAGACCTCTTGCTGTTGTGCTACCTCAGATGGAGCTTCATCCATAGTAGCAACATTGGGAGCATTAATGCACACAGGGCTCAAGTAGCCCTCAGCATTTTTACCACTGTCTCTTCTAGAACTGTGGTAAAAATGTTGGAGTCCTGTCTACATTACCATTGGAGCTTAGATACTAGGGTGGTGAGCACAGAGTAAGTACTTACATAGAAGAGAATAGGTACAGTGATATCTGTGCAATGGAGGGATATTTTCCCTAATAGTCTAGCATAGACAAGGCCTTAGAATGAACATAGGCACAATAACCTTGAAGAGCTAACTTTACTTTCAACCAGGTTTGCTGGGTTGATTAACTCCCTGAGACGGAGATGTGCACAGTGTGTTTCGTGATTGCTATTGATGTTTACATTATAGTCTACATGATAAGGTGTGCACCTAATGACAAAGGAGGATGAATGCAACAGAAATATGGAAAAAAGGGGTGGAGAGAAGGGGGAAATCCCCAAAATAGCAGCACTGCTCAATAAACCATGACCCAGACAGGATTAGAGATCCAGACATCTCAAAAGAGAAGCCTCTTTGGGCCTGATCCTGCAACCTGTGCCCTTTGAGGTGCTGAACACCCTTATCTCACAACTGACTCCATGGGAATTTAGGGCAGGATCATCCCTTCACAGTCTTCTGGTAAAGAGTGCATAATAGAGTCCCATTCTTCAGAAAGGGACTATGTTCCTTCAAAGGGAGCGTGATATAAAATGCCCACATACTTAGAAGGACAGTACATGCGTGTGTCACACAGGAGTGCTGACAAGAGGCTGATCTTTATTTTCTAGCTTCATGTCATCTGCTCTGGGTCAGGGCACTGTTACATCTTCCCTGTTTTTAAAAAATAAAAAGCAAATAAAATCCTATATCAGCCCTCTCCCCTTCCCCCAGATTAATATGCTTAGGTAATAAAACACAAAGAGATATCTAGGCAGGAGATTAGTTTAGGCTCTGATGGCTTCTGTTACACTTCAGACAATGACTTACTTTGCTCAGGTGGGTTGTGTCATTGTCTCCAGCAGAGTTACAGAGCTCATATGGTCCATGCAGGTAACATATATAATGTGTACATACACTGGATATGAAGAAAGAAACAGACAAAAAAAAAAAAAACAGGCTCAGAGGAGTGGCCTGGATTAATGGGTTCCAAGTGGCATGGAAAGAAAATGACTCATATAGTTAGCCACAAGAATTTAGAGCTTCAGTTTTGTTACGAAGACCATTCCCCTATGTTGGGGAAGGGGCTAAATCTGCTGCTGATGTTTGCTCTCTCCTGCCCCTTCCCTATTTTGTATTGCATCAGATTCTGATCTCAGTTACACGAGTGTAAACTTAGAGTAACTCTGTTGATTTCAGTAGTTACTCCAGATTTACCTCAGTGTAACTGAGATTAGAGTCTGGTCCCTAATTTAATTAATTTTTTTATATTTATATAAACACTAGATATAGCTGTATCTGTAAATGTATAACCATGTGTCAAACATTTAAAAACTGTCTGACTCCAGTATGCCCCCAATGACTTAACATAACTTCAAAAGAATTGCAATTAATTGAGGATGGGATTACATAGCTCTCTACCTCCAAAGTGTCCTCTTTTAGGAACAAGTACAAGCTAAAATGAGGTGCTAAAATGTTCTGGTAGATTTTTTTCCTCCCACTTCCATTTTCTGGGAATAAATAAATCCAGCCAGAAAAGCTGTGTTTGCCAGAGTTCCAGCCAAATTTGGCTGTCTCTAGGGGTATGAATAAGTTTTCTTTAAAAAGCACCTGATCTTAACCAAGATCAAACTCCAAACTTTTCTTTCATCCCAGATTGTAAAGTGTGTGACATTTGCATGTACTCTGTGATCAGGAATAAGGAAAAAATACACAGTACAAACAAAAGGCAAATGAGTAAAAATTAAGTAAAGTGCGCAGTGAAGCCTGCCTCACCCACAGAGATCCTATAAATAATTTTGACTCAGAGAAACTGAGGCATGGATGAAAGTTCATTGATGGACTCTGGGTCTTCGTCCTTTTATTTTGTGCTTCAAGAGGAGTTTAACATGTGAAATAATACCCTACTCATTGAGGTCTTATCTGTGATCTCCCTTCTAATGTATTCCCTGAACTTAATATTAGGTTTCAGTGCATGCAATTGTGACATTAACTTTCATCTTAGTGTTGTTGATAACTTTGCCTGAGAACTTCGGGGCATCGTGTGGTTTATATTAATGATAAACAGTTTTAGTCTCTTCTTGTGTTAATGCTGAAATATCCTGCTTAACCCAAGAAAAGCATATTTCCTCCATTACAGCATTCTTCCAGCACCCCTTGCAGCAGCGCCCAGAGAACCAGGAACCAGTTGTGACTCCCTGGTTCTTTGCTTCAGCCTAGGTTAGAGCAGCCTGGGGACTACCCTGATGACGTGTACCAGCTGGCAGTGGTCCCCATGGGACCCTATGTTGCTGGGAATAGCTGGAGAGCAGTACACTCCACCCATTCCTGCTCCCCACTCAGACATATCTATACATATTCTCTCCCCCCTCACCCCCAAACACTTCTCTGGCTCTTACTGGCTTTGTGCTTGCCTAGAGAGAAGAGGTGTTTCAGTGTATTGGATGCTAGCTTGTGACTCTGGTTTCAATTCCCTGCTCTAGTACAGACTTCCTGTGTGATTTTTGGGCAGTCATTTCAGATACTTCTACATTGCAAAAAAACGCCCCGTGGTGGAGAGTCTCTGAGCCCAGGGCAACTGACTTGGGTTTGTGGGGCTTGTGCTGCAGGGCTAAAAATAGCAGTGGAGATGTTTCTGCTTGGGCTTGAGCCTCGGCTCTGAGACCCTTCCCCCTCGCTGGGTCTCCAGTTCAAGTGAGAATGTCTACACTGCTATTTTTAGCACCGTAGCAGGCGCCCCGTGAGTCTGAGTCAGTTGACCCAGGCTCCGAGACTCACTGCTGAGAATTTTTTTTTTGCTTTTTTTGCAGCATAGATGTACCATCAGTTGCACCCTCAGTTCCTCATCTGTAAAATGGGGATGATAGCACCTCCCTACCTCACAGGTTTAGTGAAGTGCTCAGATATGATGATAAAGGAGGGTTCTTTAAGTACTGAGAGAGACAGGACTCTGAGCAGCAGCTGGTGGGTTGGCTTCCTCCTTTTGCTCTGCATGAAACAATTTAATGTGCTACTTATGTGAAGTAATATCTTCTCCTTCTAGACAAGAGAGGATTGTATGCCTGCTATTTTATAGTTAGTTAACAGGGATATGTTCCTCTGTTAAGATTTGCCTTGGAGCAAGAATCTTCTCTTCCTCTATCATTGTTTAAAAATCCAAAGGTCCACTCTTTTGAGCCATTTGTTACTACATGATAATGTGAAAGTCGCCCAGGTAGCACAAAGGAAGTTGAGAGACCATTTAGGGATCACTTGGAAAGAGTGAGTTACTTAGTGACATTTTTGAGCTCTTGGCTGTTTATCAAGTGAAGCTTTAGCTCTCAAATTTATTTCTGGACCTTCCGTAAACTGTGATTCTAGACATTACTCATGTGTTGCGTTATCCATTGTTTCCCAACAGCGCATGAGCTTGTCACATCAAGCACATTGCCCAATTTGATTTCTGCTCAGTAAAAGCTTACACAAAGCATTATTGAAACCACGTGACATTTTCCATCAAAATACATGAATCACACTTTTTTGGAAATGTCCTGCTTTTTTTTTACAAGTTGTTTCACATTTTGTTTGTAATGATGTGGTGGAAATGAACCTGAATTAATATGAAGGCAGTGGATTATAGGCAGTGGATTATAGGAATATATCTTTATTAAAGATCACTAAGACAAAATACAAATAATGGTTGCTGGCCCATTTAGGTGGCAACCTGATTCCAGGAGAGGGCACTTCTTAATTTTTCATAGAAAGGCAGGCTGATTCTCATCCTCCTCCACTCCTGCCTGTCCTCCATCACTCTCCCCCATAATGTACCTCGACAGTTCAGTACACAGAGACTAGGGGCCTTATTCTCATTTCCTTCGCACCATTATAACTCCATTGCTTTCAGTGTTGCCTTCTAGATTTACACCAGAGTGAGTGGAGAATTCTGAGGGGGTGGTCATGTGGGGGGAACATCTTCGGGGTGGGTGAAGTTATGGGATAGATGGACATGCGTACTCATGAGTCAGATGAGGTATATCCTACTGTGGAGAACATATGGGGGCAGCAAATGGGGGAGGTGTCTCATAGGGACAATGAGCTACTAGTGGCCTACTTACTATCTCTGTAAGTAAGGGAAACCTGCAGCCTTCTCCGTAGACATCCCCTATAGCACATACTTGTTTCTACCCCAGCTGTACTTTGACATAAGACTGCTGATCATAAGGAACTGGGTGATAGTTGGTTTAACATATTTCTCCTCGGGGTTAACAGAAATATATTCCAAAGACTGTTGTGTGCCAACGATCAGAAGGAATCATACGTTTTTTGTGGCAGTTGTGATAAACTCTTTGCTATGAGCACATCATAATTGCTGTGAAAAAAAAAAGGCCTACTTTTCCGGCAGGACAGACATGCACAAGAGTTGCCGCTAGGGTATGTTCAAAAAGCAGAGCACAGCTACCAGTGGGGTCCAGAATCTTTGTGGTCAGTTGGTGCCAACACAGCACGCAAAGAGCCTGCTGCTTCTCAAAGTCATGCTGGTTGAGCTGAAGTCAGCGGAGTCATACCAGTGAAACACAAGTGTCAAGGTTC